TCCCAGCACCTGGCCAGTGTCAGGCAATGTGGAAATAAGGAAACAGTTTGGATGTGGTCCCTGTCCTTGTGGAGCTACAGCTGGAGCCGTGCTCCAGGTTTCCTCCCAGTATCATCCTCGGGGCACCTCCACATGTTGAGGGGAGATGGGGTCTGAAGGATGGCTGTGCTCTCCACCGCAGGGAAAGGTGGCACTTCTTAGTTCAAGAGTTTGGGGGAAGGCATCCTTGTGGCAGCAAAGGTGAGAAGTAGACTTTGAAAATGGACCCTGGCTGACTTCTGCTTAGCCAGTACAGCTGTAGAAGGTCAAGAGGGACAGACGAGGGGCATCCTTCATGTCAAAGGGTGAAAGTTCCTCTAGAGTCAAAGCTGCAAGGGGCACAGGAATCTTGCAGCCAGCCTCTAACTTTTCACATAGGGGAAATTAAGACCCAGAAGAGGTAGTAGTTTGCTCAAATCAACAAGACAGTTAGTGGAAGACTTCCTTGTAAGTGTGTGAGAAGGAACATGACAGAAAGCAAGTCTGATCCATGTGTCCAGGCCAACATGTAAACTTTTCTTTGACTAGCAGTTATTACTTCCTTGTCTAGAATTCCCTGAGGATTAAAGTCACCATGACATCTTAGTTAATTGACTAATCCCCAGGAAGTGATCAAATGTGTGGTTTTTCAACTGATTATTTTTCTAGTTCAGTACTCCCATGCCTCAGGCATGTAATAAAGTTTGTCTGTTCTTTTACCCATTTAAAAAAAGAAAAGAAAGAATGATTACTTCCAGTTACTGGTACTCTGCCCTAGGTATTTGGTCACTTAGCAGTAAGGTAAATGAGGATTTACGTAATTGGGCAGTGCTGACAGGGAATCCTCTTGGACAGCAATGCACCAGGTAGACACAAAAATGCTTTTTAATTTACATGATGTGGAAATAGGAGACTTTATCATCTGACAGGACCTCTGTGAGAGTCCCAGTTCTGTCACTTTGTCACCTTGTGGCCTTGGGCGAGTTATTTTGCCTCTAAGACTGTTTCCCTGTCTGTAAAGTGTGGTAGTGTGTGCCTGGGTAAACACATGAGTATACCTCTAAAACAAGGATTCCCATGGGCTTCTACCCTAGTACAATGTCTGCTGCATATATTACAGGGATTTTTGCTTTAGAATGGGGTCTTCTTTTTAATCCTACATTACAGGCTACCATAGGAACCAGTGAAAGGCTGAAATCTTATGATTTAACTATCAGTCTGTCTACTGTCTCTGAGAAATACCTTAAACTGGAAACAAAAAAGATACAGCTGGTATCTTATGATTTCCTTCACCTGTATCATTGATCATTCCCCATTCATGTCCTCCCCACATCATTGTTTCTCCTTTTCCCAGCCTCACAGGAAACTAATGGAGCCATATATAAAGCTATAAGATGTAACAGACCTTGTGCACCTTTAATTGAGGACAAAATTTGCTAAAGTGCCGCCATTATCCACCAGTAGTTTACTTTACAGCTCGTATCCTGGCTAGACTGGCTGTTGCTGTATAATTTGTCTAGTTTTGTCTGGAGCCTTAGACTATTCTGCTGCTTCAGGGCAAAATCTTTTGGGGTATCATTAAATGGGATTGATAATTGGCTTCTGATGAATATTCATTGTGACTAATGACTTTGGGCAAATTTTACACACACTATCTCTCTATTCTCCCACCAAGTAAGATATTTGATAGAATCATTTTCTTTAGCTTGCACTTTAATTAAATATTCACAATACCCCTTTTTTGACTATATTCCTTATTGTATACTTTCATTACATAAGATTTTGTCCTCTATAGGGAATGAGTGTAGTCCTTCAGACTGCTACATGTGTCTGGTGATACTATTTAGGGCTCTATATATCATTTCTGCATCAGTGTAGATATGCAGAGACCCCCCATTGCAGTCAGCTTAGACACTGTTCTTAACGGTACACAGAATGGGTGTCACTTTGTATTTTGGAAAAGAGCCAAATAATCACCTGCTTACTTTGTTTGTTTTCTTAATCAAATGGGTGAATGTATCTTACCCAAACTGTAGAGACTTGGCCTTAGAAAAACCTCTAATGATATGATGGAGCACCTTAAAAGCTTCTGGATTTGTTTGTTTGTTTGTTTGTTTTTAATGAAGGATAACTAGTTTTAAAATCTTATCATTTAATCTGGTAGATTTTTTTGAGATTAAGGAGTAATGGTAAAATGATGCCTGGAGATAAGATTTGGCCCAAAATAGTTTAAGCAAACAAGAAACAGGTAATAAAGTCCCACCTCACACAAAACCATCCTAGTGAATAACATGATAATTACAAACAAATTCATGTGATGGTGTTACCTTAGTACCAAAGAGATTTTGCAGCACTTATATGTTTATAAATATATTTATAAAATTAATTTTAGCTATTAAATTTATCTTTAATTTTTATCTATTTAATAGAGCTATAGTTTAGACATAGGATTGGATGGATGGATGGATGGATGGATGGATGGATGGATGGATGGATGACTCAGTTTTTCCAAAAGTGGTAAATTTGTATGTCTAAGCTTGTCCTTGTTTTGGAGTGTGAGTTTGTGGAACTAATGAAATTCTGGATGTGCTCATAATGTAAGCCAAGCTCCTAGCTATCTGTATGTTGTAAATATAGTCTAAATAGGAATCGGGTCATTAGTTTTTAGTTTATTCAGGGTGCACACTGCATTGACAAGCACTTAGATGCATACAGTTGAGAAGTGTGAAGATGAAAAAAGAGGGCCTTTGTGTACTTCACAGCCAGGGGACAAACTTCAGTCTGTTCCAGTTCATTTAGTAACAGAGAGTCAAGGTACGGCTTGAGAGAGGAGAGCTTGTTCAGAGGCCTGAGGGAACAAACCCCAGCAGGTTTGAGAGATGAGTCAAATGGCGGAAGGGATGGAAAAAGGTCCATAACTCCTTTTACTTCTGCAAATGGTATGTCCCAAGGGCAAGCTGGGGAGGCAGTTGAAGTTGGCTGGAGATGCTGCTTCTCAGATAGACCAGGACTGGCACAGGCATTCTATTCCAGCTGTGCCCTAAAGGCTTGCAAGCAAGAAGTGATGTGCACATCAGTAAGAATGCTCTAGCAGCTGGTTAAAGATGAGCAAAAGCGCTGGTGCTCAGGCTGTTGTAACCCTCCAGCCAGACATGCCAGTACCATCAGAGTAAAGGTAGTTTGCACTCCACTCCATGCCTCCAACTACATTCGTCCTTCCAAAACCCTAGAAAGACTAATCATGGCAGCTGCCTCTATCAGAACCTACAGAATAAACTAGGACAGGTGATTGGGGACCTAGGTGCCTGGATCTACTCCTCACATGCACCTGATTTAAAGGACGACATCTGGAAAAGAGTAGGTGAGGAGCATAGCACCCTAGCTTTAGTACACAGCTTTCACAACTGTGAAGCATCAGCAGCATATCCAGTTTAAAGCTGGTCATGTTATACTAACCTCTGGGATTCTTTTAACTGGGTATTGGCACATCATCTTTCACCACATAAATGTCCTTCTGTCAGCAAAGGCCAGTTACCAGCTTCCAAAAAAAGCAAAGGCCTCATAGTGACAGGCTTCCTAGAAACCAAAGAAACGTAAGGGGAAAATGACAGAAATACATGTTGTTGGCTGTTGTCACTTAGTAGCTGGGTCTGCAGGGTTGCATCCTGTCCCTTTTGCCATATTGAATTTTATAGAGGTTGTATTGCTTTTCATTACCTTTACCTATCCATTTTTAATTGTATCAGTTACCTTGTATGCCATCTCCAGCTCTTAAGAATAAAGAGAGGGAATACAAAATAAGAGCTTGTTGAAAGAAATGGGGAAGGGGAAGGCCACAAAGGATGCTGGAGCAATGGATCAACTATGTGGGAGAAGTAGATGCTCACCTCAGGTATAAAGCCCAGATTAATTGCAGGTGGATTCAGGAGTTAAATGCTTGCAGAAATTTTAGAGGTCTTTCCTTGGACAAGGAGTGGGGCTCATCACTAAGGAAAAGGCTTGTCCACACGGTCATGCAAACCTCTTCTCTCAGAGACTTAAGGAAAGTGAAGGCTAACTTGTCAAAAATATCACATCAGATGACACTCTGTTTACAAGTCCTCAGTGCTTGCTTATAAATCAATTTAAAAGATACTAGCACTCCTTTTAAAAGTCAGGAAAGGAAGGAACAGACCTAAGAAATAGAGTCAGGAAACATGACAAAAAATATTCACCCTCCATGCTAATCCTGGGAGTGAAAATAAAAGTGAGATGGAAGTAAGTTTCAACTTGATTACCATGCTTAGTCCTGGTGAGACTATGCGAGCCTCTGCCCTGTCAGTTACACTCACACACATCCTTATACATTCCTCTGCCTACTGAGTACTGTGACATATCTGTAAGCCATAGTTAGCTCTGGAGTCTACACCCAGAAATCATATATCCAAATATAAGTGTGTAACTCCATGATAGAGAGCGGCAGAATGGGTTTGAGGAGTACACCGAAGATGGTGAGGGGGTGCTTCCTAAAACTATTTAAGGATGTGGGAAAACGCTATCAGATAATGCCAGTATAAAAAGAGAAAAAGCATTATATTTACAGTCATTTTAGTTTCTATAGTGCTTAAATGTACAATACCCTAAAATGTTAAATAATCTTAAGAAAGTGCTGGTTCTTTTATCACATTCATTTTCTCAAATTTCTACTCTAAATGTGCATGTGCTTTGAAGTCTTTTATTCACTCATTCATTTGTGTGTGTGTGTGTGTGTAGTCCTGGGGATTGGACCTGGATCTCAGATGTACTAGCAAGCACTACCATTGAGCTCCACCCTCAGCCTTATGTTAGCTTTATAATCAGGGAACAGGGCACAAAATGCGTATTTTGAAGAGGAAGTCCACTGCATTGCACTGGGGTGGGCACATCTGACTTGGAGTCCTTAACTTTGGCAGTGCCTCCCTCAGCTTTGCCTTGAGACCTGACTTTCTACTCCTCTTTTGCAGTTGACTGCCTGCATCCACGGCTCGGCTGCCATGCTCTACCCCATGTACTGGCAGCATGTGTACATTCCTGTGCTGCCCCCACACTTGCTGGACTACTGCTGGTAAGGCTGCCCAGGACCCTGTCCTCTGCTTCCTCTTCCAGGAAAGACCTAAGACTGTAAAGGCTTAATGGGTAACACTAAAATGAAAGTAGTTTAAATGGTACTGGGTTTGGAGCACTTGAGAGCAAGGTACTTTATGTCATGACTTTCTGAAGGGATCAAGAGAGTAGCTAATACTTTTAGCACTTCTCACTTTAGAGAAGCCAAGCACCAAGAAATTGTTTGCTTTTTCCCACTAAGACACATTGGAAACTGGTGACAGGAACCATTGGGATCTACAAGATCCCTTGGGTTTCAGCCATGTGCTGGCATGTCCCACCAGACTTGCCCTTAGCTGTGGTTTGAGCCTTCTGATTTTGTTTTCTCTCTGTTTCCTTCTTGCAGACCTCCTCCTCCCTCCCTCTTTTTGATCATTTCTTTGTTTTAGGTTTGTTTTTTTTTTTTGTTTTTTTTTTTTGTTTTTTTTTTTGTTTTTTTTTTTTTGAGAGAGGATTTTACTGTCTATCCTAAACCAGCCTCAAGCTCACAGCAGTCTTCCTGCCTCAGCTTCCTAAGTGCTGGGATTATCAGTGTGTCACAGCACCACACAATCCTCTGAAGCTTTTTGAGGATTCACTGTTGGACATATATTAGTGGAGGAAAGGAGAGAAGCATGGTGTCTACACATCATTGGCTGGAGACTCTCCTTTGTCTGCAACATGAAGTTATTTACTCAAAATTATATTTTTGAGATGAAACATACCATACAAGGATGGATGGCTCATGGGAGATGTACCTGCTGAAGCCCCCTCACTGCCTTCAGGAGTGTGCTGGAGAGGATAGTTTATTTGATGACTTGGATCTGTTTTCCTTATGAATGATTTTTCTCTGGTGTAATGTATTAAGAGGCATTGACTTAGAACAGCTGGTGCCAGTAGATGTTGATAAGGGGCCATGCGCATATATCTAAAGGCCCTTGGTATCTGCCAGAAATTGGAGCTTCAGGAGAAAGCCTCCATTGGAGACCACAGCCCTTATTACTAATGATCAGATACTTCATGAGATAGGCCATTGATTCAGAATGATAGAGGCCAGTCAACCACAATGTTTGCTATTTTCAATCTTCTCTCTGAAAAGGCTTTTCTAGGTAGCCATTGTGTCCTAGAAGCCTAGAGGTATTTGTGGTCACCTTGTTTTGGATGTTTTAAGTTCAGCCTCCTCCCAAGAAGCCACATGTACAGCAAAGACATAGCTCAGGCACAGCAGAGACATGCTCATGAGTACAGTGCTGAGAGAGCGAGCCCATTTCTTCATATGGTGATCTTTTTGATCCTGGTGGGTTTTCTCAGTCATGCTCTCTCCCAGTTCTGTGCTGATGTTGCACAGAATTCTAAGACTGTAGGTTGTTTCCTTTTTTGGTGGGGGTGGGGGGTCAGTTCGAGACAGGGTTTCTCTGTGTAGCCCTGGCTGTCCTAGAACTCACTCTATAGACCAGCTGGCCTCGAAGTAAAATTCAAGATGTGTGCCACCACCATCACCCTGGCATTTCTTTTTTTTAATTTTTATTTATTTGTTTATTTTATGTGTATGAGTGTTTGGCTGAATGCATGTTAGTGCCCAGGCCAGAAAAAGAGGGTGTTGGATCCCCTGAAACTGGAGTTACAGATGGTTGTGAACCACCATGTGGGTGCTGAGGAATTGAGCCTAGGTCCTTTGCAAGAGCAGCCAGTGCTCTTAATTGCTGAGCCATCTCTCCAGCCCCTTGTAGAGTGTTTCTTGATTGATCAGGAATTGTGCCCACATTGTATTTGCCATGTCTTTTTACACTTTGCTGTATTTTGGAAGTTGTTCTTTATTAAAAATGCCTTCCAGATACCCCTGGTTAGATTCCATTTTGATACCTTACAGAGTACGTAGGAGGGGTTGTATGTTTTTAAACAGAAGGATCAAGGTATGATGCCCTTGTAATAGAGTTACCTTATTTGGGGTCCCTGCTTTCCTCAGGAGTGTTTTCAGACCCCAGGGCTCCCTCAACACCCTACTTCTATGCAAGTTCTGTGTGTCTCCTGTCCACTAGGAGACCATGAGTGCTGTGCTCTTTCCATCATCCACTACTCCTGTTCCTGGTCAAGGTAAAGGTCATAGGCTTGTGTCCCTACAGCCATGTCATGGTGCCAGATCCTCCATGTCCTTTGGTTTCTAACACAGCATCTAGGAACCTGCCTCACTGCCCTGTCACTGCTGTCTCCTTATTGCAGTCTGTGTCCCATCTGTTTAGACATCCTCAGCTCTTTTCCATCCCTGTCCCTGCCATTTTCTGTGTCTTTGGAAGCCACACTGTAGCCCCTCCCACTCACACTGTTGGTGTTTGTCATCTGTACAGAGGTGACCTCTCTTCCTCAAAAAACCCATGAAACACCACAGAGAGGGCTAAGCTAAGAGGACAACACCAAGTCCTTGTCTCAAGTCCATCATTGCCTGGCTGCACAGCATAGAGAATGTGGATTTGCCTCTAGGAATCTGTGCCCTTACCTGAAGAGGGCCTCCTCCAATTATTCCCAAATACTTGCTTGTATTGAAGTACGTTTTAACCTGAAACACCCTGTCAGCCACACAACAGAGTGACTCTTGACACCATGCAACCATTTGAAAGTCCCTCCATTGCCCCTTTCTCCTTCCTGTTTTTTTATACCCTCTGTCTTGACCACAGCTTCCTCCTAACCTCCTTGTAGCCTCTCTGTCCTTCCTGTTCACTGACCCTACTGGATTTGCTTGCCTTCCTGTTTGCACTGGACCTTCATGGAGTTCTCAATGTGATGAATATTTGTACTGTATTGCAGACACTGCAGCATCTAGTCAAGGCCAAGATGTCAGTCAGTCTCCATCAAGAGGCACTTAGATGATGAGGTGTTGAAGATAGGCATGAGAAGGGAGTGGCCCAGCATCTTCCAATCTGCTCCTTTGACAGATACTGCAGGGGAATTTTTTTTTTTTTGTAATTAAGGAATTTTTTTATTTATTACAAATACCAATCACAGATTCCCCCCCTCCTTCCACCCGCTCCCCCCACCGCAGCTTCCCCCCCTAGCCTACTCCCCATCCCCTCCTCCGAAAAGATATGGCTTCCCATGGGGTCAACAAAGCTGAGGCAGGTCCAAGCCCCTCCCTCACTGCAAGGGAATTGTAAGGGCCACTGCAGGCAGGCCTGCTAGAAAATGGTGCTGCTGCCTTCTCAGCTTTCCCTACTCCTCTACTCTCAGCCCTGACCCTCTCTACACCCATCATGGTCAGGCCAAAGGCGAGGCTTCTTGCTCAGGTGAGGCCTGGGGGGCCAGGTGGCCTGACTAAATCTCAAGGCCTGTTACTCTTGAGCAACCCTCTGTCTTTTCCTTTCCTGTTCCTAGAGGAGGGAGGAACAGTCTATCCAAAGCTGGCATCTGCACCTGGGCGGGGGCTTGTCTGGGGTACATTGGGCATTTCTTCTCCCTTTCCTGCTCTTTCTCCTCTCCCTATGAAGATGTGCAGGCCCTGGCTCCTCAGGCAGACCTTTGCCTATTTGTCATTCTTTTTTGAGATTCTAAATGAATCAGTTCTTAGTTTTTCCAATGACAACTCCATCAGTGGAAAGAACATGTTTGTCATTTGGTAGTGTTTGTTGTCACTGTTTAGACGAAAGATTGTAGGACTGAAGAGACTATCAAAGAGAAGAGGACACAGGAGCTAGAAGGAAAGCAAAGGCGTGAGACACACCCGAGAAAGGGAAAGGGAAGGTTGGGGAAGATAGAGACAGCCTCCCAGAGTGACCCAGCAGGGTGAACATGGAGAACCCACCCCCATGTATAACAGCCTCACAGGCGCAAGCCTCTTCCAGACACATGGCCTTTCCCTAGCCTTTCACATGGAGAGACACCTTTCCCACCGTGCATGCGCGCGCGCGCGCGCGCGCGCACACACACACACACACACACACACACACACACACACACACACTTCAGTGAAGCCCAGAGTGCTTTAAAGGCAGCATGGAGTCCCACAAGGAGCTGCTTGCAGTGCTTAATACTGTGTTTGGACAGGAGTGCATGGGCTTTGGGGTTCAGAGATGGCAGCACTCAAAGAATTGACAGAGCCTCTTTGCCAAAAAGTTCAACTTCAGCATTTCATTATTTGGAAAGTTTCATTGCTAAATTATTAGCTATTTTAAAACTGTAAGCTTAAGTTGTGTGTGATAGTGTTCACCTATGTATTCCTAGTCCTCAGAAGTCTGAGACAAAGGGTTTGCTTCAAATCCAAAGGTTGCTAGCCTGGGCTACATATCAAGTACCAAGTCCCCCAAGGGTTGTATAGCAAGACCTTCAAACACACACACACACACACACACACACACACACACACAAACCACCCAAGAGTAAAAGGTAAAATGTCCTCTGTGATACCAATGGTAAGCCTGCTAGGCCCCAGTCACTGGACTGTCTCTTTTACCTTTGTGACCTCATTCTATCCTCCTAACAGTCCTGCAAAGCAGGTATTATCAGCTCCATTTCACAGGTCAGTAAACCAAGGCCTCAAAGGGTTTAGTAACTTGTCCCAGCATTTACACTGTGTCCTGTGTTATTCCGGTCTCACAGTCATAAAGCAAGAACTATATATACATACACATGTCCTAAAGTTCAGATCTGGAAACATCAAAATATTTAACAATGACTTGTGATGGAGAAGAGACGATTTCAGCATGCTTTTTATTATATTTTCTATTATTTCTATAATGAAATAGATTTTTTATAATTGAATGCTTTCTTTTGAAAAAAACAGCAACAAAAAACCCCAGTTATTTACCATAGCCAGTTGTTTGTTCTAGCCACTGCCTTTCCTGTATTTGCACAGAGGGCTTGCTCTGCCTTAGATTTTCAGTGAAGACTATCCCAGACCCTCTTTCCAGTGTCATCTCTCACTCCAGCACTCGAAAACTGTGTCTTAGTCTGCTGAGCCACAGGCATGTTAGCATAGGAATTGAAGACTTACTG